CCTAGGGGGGGGTCCTTAGGGGGGGTCTATAGGTCTATAGGTCTATAGGTATATAGGTCTATAGGTCTATAGGTCTATACGTCTATACGTCTATAGGTCTATAGGTCTATAGGTCTATAGGTCTATAGGTCTATAGGTCTATAGGTCTATAGGTCTATAGGTCTATAGGTCTATAGGTCTACACACCTTAAGTCTTATTAGTTTTACCAATATATAGAACTCATCGTTCTTCTGCTTAATTTCTTAAGTTACCTTGATAAATTCATTTATATTTCTTATGTTTGTTATTTATTTTTGATATCCATTCATGCCATTTATTATCTGCTAATAGCATTGACCCTCTTCAATGGAGACAATGGCTAGTTTTTCCGACTTTGTGACTGATTCGAGCATCGGATTACATATGGTCGAAGCAATGATGCTATCGACATCGGCTCTTAGGATACGAAAATTGATATCACTGTAATCGAGCTGACTGTACAGGTAAATAGGCAAACGATTGCTCATCACCCACACGCCCTGACGCGGCTCATGATCAACCTTTAGATCATTGGGGAACTGAATCAATGTGGAGTTTTCTGCAGGGTCCAGAAGCATGCCCAGATTGGATCTGGTGTATGGTTTGCTTGTATCCCAACAGCCAACATTATCGCGATGGACTTGAGTGAAGAACATAACTCCATTGCGAGCGATGCCAGAAGTGGAGGATTGGCCATTGAAGCCCCGATCGCCGATTGGAACAAACAATTTCGATGTGTCCAGAGTGCCGTCAGTCCAAAGGGATTCGTCCAGCAATAAGTCTGTCGACACCATGAATTCCTGGCGAGGAAATGCAGATCAATTAAATATCAACTACTATGAAATATCAATTACGCACCTTATAGCTGGCCATCGGATGGAAGTAGAGCACTCGATCTGAGCTCCTGGGTCCATTCGATAGACTCATGCCGAACACGCCGTCCAGCCACTGAAAGTTCAAGCCGTAGACATTGAAATCGGATGCCACAGGATTGGGCGAGAAATTGTAGTTGGTCACGCGCCAGCTTCGGTTCTTTGCCAAGCTATAGACAACGATGCCGAACCTCCAGACATCCGTGACAAAGACGTGCGCATCCAGGCAATCGCCATTCCGTATATCCACCGCAATATTCGAGTGCAGCGAGTCCTGTTTGACCTGGGATTCGGGCAGTGGATAGCGCACAATCATCTCATCGCTGCTCAAATCAAAGGCCACAATTTTCGGGGGACAAATCTGATTCAGCTTGACCGTTGCATTCACGATGCCCGAATCGATGGCCCACAGTCGATTGCATTGGACATCGACTGCGGTGCGATAGACGGATATCAGCTTGGAGCAGTCCGGATTGTAGGGGCTGCTGTGTGCCTGCCACGACGGATAGGGCCTGACCGGCGGACTTATCTCCTTGGTCGGATAGGTCACGGTGACCAAGCTGGCCGGAACACCATCCTTCCAGCGCGGCGTTGTTATAAACAGCCGATTATTAAACACATCAATGCCCAAGGGCAAATTATTTTTTATCACAAAGTCGCTAGAGTTGAAAACAAATARAAATATAAATTTATATATCAGATATATATGTATCTCTATTCCGTTGATTTGTAAACACACTGTACTGCGAATTTGAACTCTGAGAATATCACTTGAAGCTTTTAGTGTAGATTTGAGAGCCTTCCTCTTTAATGAATAGTTCCTAAAGGACCTTGTATAACTCCCAAATTATGGATCTTCTTATCTATAGGTATATTCTATCGACTCCATTTGTATCAAGCATGATTATATAGGTGGTTGTACATCACGAGGGAAAGGAATAACCGTATATGGTTAATGATCCAACGAAAGCAGATTTTGAAGCGATCTTTGATCTTCGAGAAAATGTTCGAGCATCAACTTTATATGATCGCTGTTAGGGTCATATGAGGAAGAAGAATATTCATATTATTTAAAAGTTTCACATAAAAAGCATTGTTCCCCGGAGTGACAATCAATTCCCCATATAGCTTAAGCGTCTGATTCCAGAATAGATCACTGTTGCTATACTATTCACGAAGTATATTTGACAAGAAGAGCCATCTAGAGTCGGAAGCTGTGAGCCTTCTGATCGATCGATCGAAGTAGAAAGTAAGAGTTGCATGGAGTTACAGTCACACTAATCCAATAGAATAGAAGAGCATAGTATTCTAGATAATGAATATTCAAATATATTACATTTTTGTTAGTCGTAAGACTGAGATGAAGCTATAAAGTGACTTAATCTTATATAGATATAACTCTTACTATTTTGTAACACAAAAAGTTATATGGACATAACTCTTACTACTTTATAGCACAAAGGTTAAGTCATTCTGCCGCTTCATCTCACTCTCTCTCTCTCTCTCTGTCTCTCAGAACTTTCAAGTTAAGTAATTGCGTAATCGAGCTACCTAGAGCTTTTGTATATAACGTAAATCTCACTGAGATCTTTTGTAAGTCAAATTAACTGCATCAACAGACAACTCAGAGCTCTCTCTCCCAGTAGATTAGAGTATAGTAGAAAGAACTATGGATGACCTACAGTAACCTTACTAACTCTACTACTCTACTTTTCTCCACTTACAAAGGATCAAAGTCTGCTTACGTGATTACCAAATATATCCAAACGCTCGCTAAAAAATACTTTGATCCAACCTGTAGAGCTTCCATTATGTTCTAAGTAGAGATCTTGGCTCTTTCCTTCCTACTTTCTCATCGGCCTTCTGTATGTGTCCTACGTACAAATTAAAATAAATTGCTTAGATACAGCATTTCGTCTTCATTTGTGGCTTAGGATCTTCGACTATTTCCTTCAATAACTCTTAATATCCTTGCCATCGTGAATGAACCTCACTGCTTAGACCCGTTGAAGTCAGGAGGGTTCTTTGTTCATGTTTATCTCACCTAGGTATGGTTATTCCTACTCAGTCACATTTGAGAATAGTCCTCTGGAACAAGAACGAATATCAAATTCGTTCCTCTGCCTCAGATTCTCTTATATAAAGATCAATCAAGGCCCCTACTCTCTTCCTAAGGATAATTGGATGATATTTGTTACGTCCATTCACACTCAAAGCTACCTCAACTATGATCAAAGTCGGAGTTTTTCCGCACACTGATCTCACAATACAACAAATCTCGCATACGCTGACTTCACAGCTCCACGATCGCAATCCAATGTGTTCACTTGTTTTTGGAGYGTACGCAAGAGCAATTTGATCAATCAATCACAGCAATACATATATGTATTATTGAGGAACTCGGGCCAATTGCAAAAGTTTCATAACAGTTTTCCACTGGCTTATTACCCATTTTTGATCGCCAATTGTCTTTCGACAAATGTGGGATATTCGAAATCAATATATTTCCACTCGTTGACTACTTGAAATAGATTACTGTTTCGTTTAGCATCTGGCTCCCCTGGCGGGCTTTGGAGCTTGAAACGTGTGCTTGGGCGAGCTTGATCCGCGTTTGCAGCATTGACACAAATCGAATTGTATCGAAGGCCAACGATCGAAAGCAAAGTAATAATTGGTAAATAACTCGATTTCATAGCTTATATGCGAAACTGGTTGGCTGCCTGGTTATATGCACATAATAAGCATGTACTTGTGTTGAGTTAGATGTACGAATCGGTTTTCGCTTTCTGCTACAATGCCTCCAACAGCAACAACCAATCTCGCTCACGCACGAAAAACAACTGAAACGAAGTGAATGTCTTGTGGCCATTAAGTACTGTAAGCCAAGTTTACAGCTTACAGCTTATAAATGTTCATACATACATTTAGTATATAGATATATGTATATGTACACTACGTCATTAGATTAGCGCCCGCTTTTTATACCCTGAACCTATTGAAAATGGAAAATCGGGGTATTATAATTGTGTCGAAATGTTTGTAACAGACAGAAGGAGGCGTGGCCACTCCTATATAGTGCATATATATTCTTGATCAGCATGATGTGCTGAGTCGATCTAACCCTGTCTATCTGTCTATCTGTTTGTCGGTTTATCTGTTTGTCCTTCAGTCCGTCTGCCTGATGATCAGTCGATGAGTCCGTGCGCCCAGTTGTCCCCTCACTCGATCGCGCGTCTGTCTGTTCATCCGTCCATCCTTGCATACGTCCGTCTGCCCGTCTATCAATCTATCTGGTTGTACCCCCGTACGCCCGTATGTCCGTACGTCCGTCAATTATTCCATCTGTACGTTCGTCCGCCTGTCCGTTAGCTTATATGTCCGTCTGTTTGTCCACCTGTCCTTCCGTCCGTGTGTCCATCCGTACGTTCAACCATTCCTCTGCTTGTCTGTCTATCCGTTCATCCATCCGCCCGTCCATCCGTTCGTTCATTCATACGTCCATCATCTGTCCGTCCATTACTCTATCTGTCCATACGACCCTCCATCTGTACATTCGTCCGTTTGTCCATTAGCTTATATATCCGTGTGTCTATCCACTTGTCCTTCCGTACGTATGTCTACTCGTCCGGTCATCCATTCCCGGCCCTCCATCCGTTCGTTCATTCATACGTCCATCAGTCCCTCCGTCCGTATGTAAAAATGCATTCATCTCAGCTGCTACATATATCAGCTAGAGACTTCAATTTTCCGAATTCGTGATGCAAAGTGGCGGCGCTGGTAGAGGCGATGAGCGTCGTCGAGTCGGTGTGGGCTCACTTCCTGTCGCTGTTATTTTTATTTTTTACAAGCGTGAAGTCGCAGCGGTGCCAACTTCCTGACGATGCCGGCTATTTTTTCTATCCATTTCTTTTTGACAAACATTTACGTTGCGAGTAACGTGTTTTTATTAGTCGAATATTTTGATATGTTTACACATTTATCTACTTAACTAAATACATACAGATCGGTTTGCGAGTGCGACTACTTTAACTGCGTGTGCTTCGTGTGCCTAGGCATATATACAAGTGCAGATCGGTTGAGGTGCAGGGTATCGCTTAGTCGGACAGACCCGACTAAAGTTTTTTGTTTACCTGTTTTGCATTCGTACACCGAGCCTAACCAACTATACCCAGACATTCTCTATGATATTAAGGTCAGGGCGATATGGCGGCCATTCAATGAACTCTACATTTCAGGTCCGAGTCTGGAGCTGGAGCTGGAAATGTCAGCTCATATTCAGAGTGCGGAAAGCCACCATCACACCGCCAATTCAACTGTGCAAGTGGTCCAAGCTATGGAGTAAGTGAAAATAAGATTGGGAATACCAATGGATTTCCAAGTCATAAGGACTGGGTAGAAGACCAAGTCATAAGGAATTTAGGCATGCATTGTCTTTCAAATAAACTTTTAAATCGTAAAAAAAAAAACTGGGAATAAAACCAGTTTCTTCTTTGATTCCTAAACACAATTAGTGCGCATTGAATGCTTTTTTCAACATGGATCGATTATCTGTCGTACCTGTTATTGCCAATGAAGTTTTGTCAACAGAAAGTAAATCATTGTTGCTCAATGTCTGTCAGCAAATTCCGCAACATTTTTCTTACAAATAGCATAGAATTAAGTTAAATCTCGACGTTTGATTGTCTTCCAAAGATAGAAGTAGAACTTCTCCCATAAAACCTTTTTCCTATAGAAGATGAGTTTTTTAGTCTTTGGTAACTCTGATTGCTAGCTGCTCACAATGACATTTTGGGTCGCTATCTTGACGAGAACAGAACAGAACAGATAAAAACATAAACAAACGGTTCTTCTATGGAGTTTTAGTAGGAAGGAGATCACAGATGAGTATAAAAATTAAAAAAAAAAAAAAAAAATTAGAGAAAAAGAGAGAGCAAGTAAAACTGTTCAAGTCAGTCGCTACCGACCGCATAATACTCATTCACGGTTCAAAAGCAATTGAATCCGTTTTGGTTATCGAGTCAGATAGCATTCTTCACTTAATTGTCCCATTTTGGAACTCTAGCTCCAAAACGTTGGAGGATATAGCTTTTATTGATCCCAATGGGCATAGACCTATGCACGATATGTTTCTACCCTGAACCCATTGAAAATGGGTATAATGCTTTTGTTGATCTCGATTATATTGTATTACACATATCAAGTCTTTAACACTTTAAGTAACAACCGCGTTTGCCACGCCTCTAATGGGCGGCTAGCACCTTAAGACTTTATAAGTCGAGCGTATGCCGAAATTCCTCAATTTCTCAATAGTATCTAGCTTTAAATTCAGATGAACCAGCGGACGCAGGGCGTACATTCAGTTGAACCAATATTCCCTTTTGACTTCATGAATGAGTATAAGAAATACTTAAAGGGAGGCTGCCAGCCTGATATATTATATAGGCAAAATCGTGAAGTGCTGTATTTAGTTTTGTTTAGTTTGTCGTTTTTATTATTATTATTTTATATTATTGAACTCTCTAAGTTAACTAGAATACACAACTCTACGCTTTTCATTAAACATTAATTAATTGGTTTTAGTTTTTTCTTTTATTTTTTCTTGTTGTTGTATATATATATATATATTTTTATTTCTTTTTATTTTCGTTTCTGTATTATCTCTTTAAGACTTAATTTAGCTTTATTTCTGTACTGTTCCAACTTTAAAACTTAAACAAATAAAAAAGAAAAACAGGACAAGACGCACGAGTTTTCGAAATGAAATGTTTAACTAGCTTAAACAATGAATTTAAAAATCTGTAATTTTCGTTTTGCTTTTGTTTTCCTTTCTTTAATAAATATATAATAAATTTTGCTTTTGTTGAAACACACGATTAATTGGCAACCTAGTTTTATGTATATTTATATATAGAAATATGTAAAGGTATACAGCCGCGGTCATTCGAATAGTACTACTTTTCAAGCAATTTGAAATGAATATTAAGTTGAACATATACCGTTATTCATTTAGATGTTGATATTATTTTTATCACTAAGTTTCTTAGTCAAACATTTAGTGGTACTAATCTAGTGACCGCAGCTGTATGCACATGTGTGTGTGTATGTGTGTGGGTGTGGGGGGGGCTTTATATATATATATAAAAGTTTTACATTAACAACTTTGTAACCTAAGCTTAGTTTCATTTTGTTTGTTTATATTTATGCATTTAACAAATAAGAGCTGCGTCATAATTAAGAAATTAAAATTAGAACTAAAAACAAAAAAATAATAAAATAAAATGAAAAACAAGAAAATTCAAGTAAAGTTTGATTGAATGCATTGGCGGGCGGTCTACGGCTCAACATAGTCCAAGAGTGTGCGAGGGCGTGGGTGTGGGCGTGGGGCATGGGGGCGTGTGACAGGTGGGCGGAAGTTGGATGTGCTGTGTTAATTCTGCTTAAATGTGTCAGTAGCCTAAGCAGCTGACAAATAAAACAGTTGTCCATGTTTATGTAAATATATATATAG